TTCTGGAAGTTGCTTACAATGTACTTCCTGTTTACTTTGGTGATATTGTATCCTTCTGGAGTCTTTGATAGAGTTGAAGAATAGATAGTAACAAAATAGTTTTCCTTAGTTATGATAAAAGATAAAATAGATAAAGATATTGTAACTGTAATTCTTGTTTGATAACTGTTTTATGTAATTTTACTACGATAAAGTTGAAACCTTCCCTTTTATTTAAACAGAAAAAGGGAGGTGTTGTGGGATTCCCCTCTGTGTGCTGTGAATAACATTGGTGAATAAAGAAACTCTCTTGGGCCTGCACAGGGAATAGAAGTAGGCAGGGAAATGCTGGGAGGAATAAGGTAAAATCAGAGAGAAGCCATGTAGCCCTGTTGGAGACAGAATCCAAAACTTTAGCCAGTAAACCACAGCCACATGGCGATACACAGATTAATAGAAATGGGCTAAACTAATATGTAAGAGTTAGCCAATAAGAAGCTAGAGCTAATAGGCCAAGCAGTTATTTAATTAATACAGTTTCTGTGTGATTATTTCGGTTTCTGGGTAGCTGGGGAAACAAATAAGCAGCCTCCTTCAAAAGGAATGTGGGGCCAAAAGTTTATCCTGCTGTGCTCTGTAGGAACTTGGAGCATGATGTAGACAGACAACTCACCAGATCTGAAACATCATACTGTATGTCCAAGTGACTCTCCTGATTACTATTGAGAAAGTTGGCTGAGGCACAGAACCAGCCACAGTGCCACAAGCTGCAAGGCTCCATCATGAAAGCTCGTCTCACAGGCCCTCACTCAGAGGACAGTCCTTTTTCCACTAGTTACGTGGTTACCCTCCCAATCTCCAAGAACAGCATAGAACTGTGTTACCCGAATTGCTTTGCTACTAGTTCAATAGCTTAACATGTGACTACTCCAAGGGAAGGGATCAATAAAACTTAAAGTGTCCACTGGGTTTAGAAAACTTAGTATGGAAAATAGAAACACAGAGTATAACTTTGTTTTATATTGAGCATATTTTTAAAAATATTATTTTTCATATAGTGAGTTAAATAAAATATAATTAATTTAGTCTGTTTCTTTAAACTATTTTAAAACATAGCTACTAGTATTTTTTTAAATGCTATATGTGACAAAACTTGTTAACAAACTCATTGAAATTTGACTGGACACTGCTACATTGCAGATTAAATGAGCTTGTAAAAGATGCTTTGACCTTTCTTATAAAGTCATATGTATATGTGCATTTATAATTACATTTTATATATATATATATATATATAGTTATGTAGATATACATAATTATAGAACAAGACAATTTTATAGCCTGGGCATTTTTTTTACTGTCAACCATAACAAAAATGGTTGCATGGTGTCTTACTCCATAATAAGAACTGCTCATATTGAAAAAACTCATAAAGAAAAAAAATGGTTACTAAGAGTTTATGAATAACCCCAAAACTCAAGAGTATTTTATGATAAGTCATCTACTAAATAAGTACGTATTTGTTATGAATACAGTCCAAAAGGTCTAAGGGCACAAATTGGCATCTATTTGACTAAACCACCAGGAAACGTCTTGAACACATCCAGTAAATGTTGCTTAAGGACACTCAAAAATATATAGAACACAATTGTGGGAATCCCAGGGAATTCAGCTTATGTTGGGATAAGTGTTCTTAGTACATTGTAAGGTCAGACTCACTATTAGCACTATGTTCTTGGCCAATAGTTTAACCTCTCAAACCTTTTAGTAGCATCCAAAGAAATATCCTGAAGATGGATGGGATGTGTACTAAACAGTGGCCCTTCACAGGTGAGCAACGTGTGTTAAATTTTCACTATGCAGAATGACATGGCTCAGTCTAATGTAATTCTTTCTGTGTGTGAGACTGGTTTAGTGATCATGCTTAACAAGTTATTTAAGTGTTAATGTCATCAAACATGCTAGCTTTTCTCATGTTAGTATGATCATTTCTGGACTCTTCTCTGTTTCGTCTATAATTTTTTCTCTAATGGCTCATAAAACAACAGAAAATAGTTATTAGACCAACCAGGAATGCTCTTTGATTATCTTAATAAGGAATCTAGGCCTTAACCTAGAAATATTGGAGTGACAAAGTAAAGAAGTCTTTTCTGGAAAAAAAAAAAAGAGGTCTTTTCTGCCACAAATATAGTGCTTAGTGGTGTGCAAATATACCAAAATCTAACACCCAAATTTTCATTACTAGCAGAGTTTTGTTCTGTTGTTTAATCAGGAGCTATTTCTAGGTGCTCCTTTAAGGACTCAATTCTTCTCGATAAATACAGGGCAGAATACCAAGCATGACTCCAGGCAGTTCATGTTCTCTAAACCCGAGGAGCACGGTAACTTCAATTCAACATCTTATTTTCCCACATAGGAAGATGAGGAATATAAAGCAGAAAATGGACAGTCTGTTGTTTAAATTTCTTTTGTGTGCTTATGATACTGGGAACATTTCTCAGGATTAAAACAAAACAAAGTAAAAGATGCGAACTGACTGTTTCTAGGTCCCCTTGTCATTTCATGCATGCTGAATGGCTGATGGGAACCACGGGCACATCACAGAATCTCAAGTAAGACTTTTATTTGGGACCAGGAATTGTAGTTGAGTTTTTGCCAAAGAAGGGGACACAATATCAAATCTATCCTATTTCAGGGTCAGGGAACTTCCATTAGAAACCAGGGCCCCCGGGAAAGTGCTCAAAGGGAAGAAGGTTAAACAGAACTACCATCCATCTACCCCCAAGACATCCCATTAGCAAAAATGTAGGGTTACAGTAAGGACTACTGAAGTTTCAGGTGTACTGCTGAGGTGCTGGATCTATCTCCTAATTCTCCTCCAGGAAAGTGTTTCTATGCCCAAGGCCAGTAGAGTTTTGTCCTAAACAAATAGGTCCTTTGTAAAGATTGGAGGAATCAAAAATGTTTTCCTCCTTTAAGAATACAGGATGCTCTCCTCTGGGAATCACGGGAAATCTAATGCTGAATATTACTGGGTTCTGTATAAAGGGGCAGTAGAGAGGTGGCTGAACCAAAGAGAGGACACACCAGTGAAGATGCCTGTGGGGCTTAGATGTGACATGGTAAAAGCATAGGAGTGTCACACGGGTCAAACATGTAACACAGAAGCTGATGCATTGGTACCCATGTGCTTAGAAAGTATCTTAGGGCAGTAGGAGCGCAGGGTGGGAGTGGGGTGGGACAGTGAAAGAGCTGACCCCGAGCCACATCCTTTATCGTGGGGAAACACACAGGGTCCCCTGAGTCATCTTCACAGGGCAGCTAGAATTTCTGTATTAGCCATACTGAGGACTCTGGCAGGTGTCCAAACCAGCAATAAGGGCCAGACCCTCACCTGGGCTAACACAGTGCAGCATCTGTCCCCTGCTCCTCTATGTCACCGCTTGAGAGTAAGACGGGGACACATGTGAAACTCCGCAGTGACTGGCGTTACGGAGATGTGATTGTCATGGAAAAGGGCGGGAAGACGGGCAGAAACAAACAAAATCAGAGGCTCCATATTTAAAATAAATAAAATGGATCGACAACAAGTAGATAATGAAGAAGTTTGCACACGTAAGTCAAGACACAAGACACTAGATCTAAACAAGTGGGCATCGGAAAACGAGCAGCCTGGGAGGTGGAGTTAGAGCAGAAAGCTTAGCTCACTCCTCGAACCTCAACTAATAAATGAACCTCTTTAATAAAAACACTGCGTTAATTATATCAATGGCCAACCTTTTTGGAGTCCTGGGGTTTTACGAAGGCAGTCTGGGTGTGGTAAGAGAATGCCTCCCCCATCCCTAAACTTCATTTGCAGGAGGTTTAAGGGTGACTGTGGACAGGCTGCCAGAAAGAGCAAGGGCAGAGCAGTTACAGATTCAGCAAAGGCCTCCCAGGCCTCCGCTGTGGATCTTCCTTGGCTCGGAAGAACTTGCTGGGCCCTTTCTGAGCTAAAGTACAAACAGCCGAATAGCGCGTGTGGTCTGAGAACCCACAACACCAGCAGGGCAGGAAGTGCTGCGACTGGATCAAGATATAGGCAGAAAACCAATGGTGAAGATCGCATTAGTCCACGGAAGCATGCCCTCCCTCCTCTGAGAAGCCAGAAGCCCTTGTGAGGAGCAAGGGGGAAGAACACAGCACCCCCTCGTTCCTTCTCCTCTGTACTAGCAGCTGCTCTGTGAGCTGGCATCCTGCTCAGGCAAGTTGCCCTTCAGTGTGTGCTTGAAATATTCCCTTGGCACACTGGCAAGCGGCTGCTTTCAATGAGAAGACATGAACGGCACCTTGCCCGCGCTCCTCTCGCTCAATGGAAGACGGCTGACGGTTCCTGAACAAGTTCTAAATAAGCTTCCTGTCCTTTATTTTACTCCTCTCTGAGCCTAGTGGCCTTGGGGATTCTGCGTGCAGGGCTGTTGATACAGGTTCTGCCACCACCAACTCTGGCACCAACACTAGTGCCCCTAGGACCCTCTGGCTCCTTCACCTTCAGCAGGTGAGAGCTGCAATTCTTCAGGAGTGTTAGGCAAACCTCAGTGGGTGCTCAGGCTGAGCTGGAAAAGCCACAGCAGCCTGCTGCTTGATTCACATCCTAGGAAGCCGGAAGACGCTTCCTGTCCCAATAGCTCCTGCGTTTTTGCTAAGAGGATATGGCTCACACCTGTAATTTCCCCTAGCCCCCAGGAGTCCAGGATCGCCAGCTTAGAGTTGCAATTCAGCCGCCTGCAGGAGTGTCTAGGAGTGTCTAGGCTCCCCTCTCACCGTCTAACTAAACAAAAAACCCGCTTGAGGAAGAATTACTTTTATTCAAGAGACAAGAGAAGGATTCTATTCAACTGAGCAACAAAACAAGGTGACTCTTCGAACAGTCACACCTTGGTGACCTGATTGCTTTTGCCAGGCAGGCAGGAAGTCAGAGAAAATCCAATTCATTCACTTACAAATGGCACGTCTATCTTTGGATTATAAAAAGCACCTACCCCAACTTCTGGAGGGGGATCCTTGTGCTCCGGAAGGACACTGGTTCGAATCTACGGAGAAAAACAAACATTTCCTATGTGACTTCTGAATAGAAACTTGGGCAGAAGTTTCACACAGGTCCTAGGCTTCTGTTTTCTTCTTCTTATGTCAGTTCAAACTTGCGAGTTAATCATCAATGAAAACAGCAGCTGCCCTGCTATCCACCGCCTTGCAATAAAGCTGCCTTCACAGTCCCAAGGCTTCCCGGCTTTTCCGGGAGACAGCTCGTTTACCCTCACCGTCTCTCGTCGAAAGCAGAGGACCGCGACACAAGTGAGTCACCTTTTTATCTCCTCAAAAACACAGCTCCAAAGGAACGATGGAAAGGTAGGGAGAACTTGATTCCACTCATGGTAAATAAACTGTTCTCTGAACAAGAGCCAAGGCCCAAGCTCCTTCTAGGAGATCCCGTCCTTGGGAAATCTGGGCCATATGATAGGGCAGTGGCATCTGGATGACTTAGAAAAGTAAGTCTCACTCAATGGGAAAAGGATCAAAACCCTGTTCCCAGAAGCTTGCCACATGACTGTTCCAAGAACGCGAACCCTTTGGATAGTTAGACACACACGTTTACCGAGGGGTGGTTATCTAACCTTGTTTTCCACTAGAGTCGTGGGGGTGTTTTCAAACTATTCCTTCTCATCCTTGCTATGCATTTTCTGAGTCTCATATGGAGCTACTGAGCCTTGTTCTCCTAAGGAAAAGAAAAGGTTCCAAACGGGAGAGAGATCAACTTTCTCACACAAGAGAAAAGGCAGCAAAACCAAATAAGACGGGCGTGATGGCCTTTGAAATAAAGAGGAGAGGCGGCGGCTGAATGAATACAGGGCTATACGAGACTGTGACCTGTTCAACTGGAGAGCAAGAGTCACCAGGGATGGAAAAGGAAGGCCAGACCAGAAGTATGCTGTGGAAAGTGTTTCCCGAGGCCGTTCTAAACAAACCGCTTTGGAAGCTCAGACCTGTGAGTCCCTGTGGTTCGCATACTCCTGAGTATAACATGTCAATGGTTCCAAGAAAAGGGGTGGCTACAAAATACCTAGGCGTGTCAAAAAGCTTCATCCAGGTTTTCTGGCTCATGGATCTTTAACACAGTCTCCATGTATGAATAAAGTCACATGCTGAGCATAGCATGCCTCTGGAGTCCCAGCTTGAGACTACTTCTTACGACAGATCCAGTCCAATCACTTGCACAATGTGTCAGTTATTAAATTGCCAAATTGTTTGCCAGTGAGCAAAATCACTGACAGGAGAGATGCCGAGAGAGCGGACAAGGACATGATGTACAGAACGAACTCAGGTCAGATGCCTGGAGGAAGGCTCCCTTGGTAGCTGCATGACCAAGTTCACCGTTGAGTCTCATTATCTGAGAACCATCAGCTACCGTCAGAAGGATGGGGAAGATGTGTAAATATTCTTCTGTTAGGGATCATGGAGCACGCGCATGTGCACGTGCACATACACACATACACACACACATACACATACACACACACACACACACACACACACACACACATACCTTATATGCGTTTGTCCATGAGCCTTGTTCCTTGTTCCTTTCTTCATAGCTAACTAACTATGAAGGTTATAGATCGCGGGTACTCACATATGTGTAACCCATACACACACACGTGCACAAGCTATTTGCATTCTTTTTCAAAAATACTGACTACCAAATGCATTCTCAAAAGGGAAATACTTGTATTGATAAAAATAAAAAGAGACAGAAACTGGTGCGACTCAACATGCCTAGGACTGCATAAACTAGTTGATTTAGGCTGTAGTATGTGCATATGGAGAGAGACAAAGTTAGAAAAATATTAACAATTCAAACATGGTCTATTAAACTCCTATTTTCGTGGGATTTTTATTATTCCTTACAAATATGAATAAGCTACAGAAGAAAGAAGGTTCTTTATTCCAAGCCATACACATAAAAATTGAAGATATCATGAATTGGTTTGCTATATTCTGTGTATGTGTGTTGGCGAGGAAGAGGAGGAGTTCAGGAAGACACAGAAAATCAAAATTAAAAAATTTCTATTTATTTTGATAATAAAAGGCAAAGTGCAGGTTTGTCCAGCATGAAACATGAGTTGGTACTGTTGATGTTGTGGTTTCCTTTCCTTACATACGATGTTTCTTCTGCACATCTCCACTGCTGCATGGAGAAGGGTGGTTGGCCAGTGCAGAGGAGTCTGTCCTTCTCCGTGGGGCTTCACTCTCTAGTGGCTGCCACAACTAGGAAACATTCAAGTACAGTGTAGCAAGGGCCACAATAGGAATGTGGGCGTTGGCTGAGAGCGTTCAGACAGAAGCCTGGAAACTCTCCCTGTGGCTATCAGGTGAGACCACAGAGCAATGGCGCTCAGGGAGTTTTCAGCAAGGAAGAACAGAGGAAGCAGAAGGATGCAAGGTGATAGCTAGGCACTGTGTGATGCTCTAGCCCAGCCCTTTGCAAAGTATTTCCTCCTGAGGAAGTCACTTGATGTAGACAGGTTTGGAGAAGGAGATTGGGCCTCCAAATGGATAAGGTCATGATGTTACATAATTGGAACTTTTTTCTTTATAGACTTCTTCTAGGCCACAGAAAATCAGGGAAGGCAAGTATTTGAATCACCCCAAATCCTTCCGGGAGCTCCGAGCCTCTGCTTTTCTGTCTTTGTGTTGGCTTCTTTAATGAGATAGTGTAAGTCATTGATTTTATTGTGCCTCTTACAGCCCTGGGGCTATCCTGGGCTACAGAGAGGCAGTAAGGGGTGTGAGTCCTTGGGGCTGTCCTGGGCTACAGAGAAGCAGTAAGGAGTGAGGTGAGAGGGAGACAAACAGAAGGCAGAGGAACTGAGAACACCAGAGCGGCTGGAATGCAGGAGAGCTCAGGAGTGTGCTGCTGACAACCCAGTTCTGAAAAACTTTGGACATGACCTCTAGGCCTCTGTCTGAAGAAGATATGGAGCCATGGCTGTTACCACAGCATTTGGAATGTTCCAGTTCCTCACCATGTCATGCCTCCTGAGAATTAACGGGCTTCCCTGGGAATTCAGTTTTTCCTTTTTTGGTCTTATTAACATTTTTTTTTTCTACTGAGTGTCTTCAATGTGCCTCTCCTGAAATTTTCCCAGAACGAAAACAGCAACAAAAGAAATGTTGACCCGATTATACACTCAAGTCTCTCCGGGCTTCTGTCTAGGGGTTTATGACAGCACATCAAGGGAGGCCGGTGACGTGCGTGACCTGGTGCAAGCCCACTCTTTGAGCGCTGCCTTGCTTATCCTCTAGATTCACATAACGCAAATTGCTCTCCTGTCTTTTCTAGCTCTCTGTCAATCCCACAAATTTAAGGTTCACATACGTTAACTTTGAAATGATAAACATAGGTAGTTAACTTTGATATGATAGCCGTATCCTAGTGCGGGGGCGCCCCCCCCGGCCCCCCAATCCTGACTCCCTGCAGCTCCCTGCAGACTACTTGGCTAACTTTCAAAGCTTTAAGGAACTGCCAGGCTATGACTCCAACAGGTGCACATAGCACATTTAGGCTCAAATAAATCCACAGAAGAAGACTCTGGAAGCTAGTGCATCTTATACAGAACATGGATGCTGTTGTCCCACGGGCAAAGACTGCTGCATCTTCACTGGTGAGTAAGTCACTAAGCATGTGGCAATGGGCTGTTCTGGGGATCCAGAGCCAGCCAAGGAGAAGGTCATGCTGTCAAGAGTCTGTGTCCCTGACTGCATTTCCCGGACCTCAAGTTGGTCCATTTCTGCATTGGTCCATGGACAATGTTCCATGGACATGGAAGGAGCAACCTCCTCTAGATGAACATAGAAGAAATGGATGGGAAAGTTGGAGATCATCTGGCAGGAAAACCCATGCAAGGCCCTCCAACCTCCCCGAAGAATGTGGTCCAACCTGGAACGTATTTGGAAATGAATTGGATACAGAATCGGTCTTTATTTCTTAATATAAATGTTGCTTTAGACCCCTGTGCATGTTGACATTTTCTTGCTCCACTATCTTGAGAAATGCACCTACCTTGATATTGAAACAGGAAACCATTATGGGGACAAAGATGTCTACCTCCTTCTGTAATATGAGCGTCTGTAAGGAAGTGTCCCAGAATGCTCTTCGCTCAGGTATGAGCCCGGAACTCCATCCCGACACGGCGGTATATGTCAGGAGTATCTGTTGCACCCACAGTAGGGCTTCTCAAGGGGTACAGTATGCCTTCTTAGCTTCCTCTTTGTCTAATGACCAGCAAGCAGGTCACCCAAGCATCTGATAGTAGACAAGATGCAGACCTAGAGACCCAAGTCTCACTGCCCAAGGAAATTATCGACGAATGACCACTAAGTAGCGTGTCTCTGGATTAACTGGTCATAGAAGTTTTACTGGTGTGTAACAAGCTTAACTGCCTAAAACAATGTACACTGAGTTATCTGCAGGTCTGTCAGGACTCCTGATGTGGAAGGATCCGTTCTCTGGGCAGATCTCAATGGCTGCGGTCTAGAGGCAACTTACCCATGGTCTCATTTACAGACTCTACTAGGAAAGCCCTGCCTCCATGCTCCCCCAGGCTTAGGTGGAACTGAGTGTCCCACAGCTCTAGAACAGAGGGCCTCATTTTCTAGACAACTGTCAGCTGAGACAAATGAAAATGTCAGAGGTCTCACATTTGCACTTCTTCCTGTGTGGCCTCCTCCATGTTCCAATCAAGCCCTTGAAATTTCTGTCAAAAGAGACTCACAGGCGGGCTCGGGCAGACAACTCCTGGCTCCGAGGAGTAAGCTAGTTCCTTCCCAGTGCCATGATGGGCCAAGCAGGGCAAAAAGAACCACATGCAGGTTCACCCTGGGCTTTGAGGAGAAAACACAGGCCACCTGGCACATTGTGGTACTGGGCAGACAGGGCTCTATTATGGTGAGCAAATCTACGGAGAGAGAGACAGAATGGTTTATTTCCTGCGGACAGAGGCATACCTGAAGAGGTAAAAGCAACAAGGATTCG